ATATACATATATTTATATTTATATAGGTATTATATATAATAGACTTATTTTTAATTGATACACACACATATGTTTATTATAATAAAAATATCAACCGGGAAATTTACATAATATACGATAATTAATATAATAAATAAATATATATATATTATTAAAAAATAAGTATATAACAAAAAAATTAGCAAGTTTCATCTAATATGCAAACATTAATATATGCAAATAGTGTATTTAATATAAACATGCAATATTATCGTTGAATCACTTTTTAACCACTTCTAATAGAATGTTGTGACAATGAGATGCAATACATATAAAATTTTTTAATGTAAGTATAATTCTTTATTCTTTCAAAATTATGTATAAAATGTTGTTAGTAGATATAATACAATGTAACGGTGAAATATTACATAAATTGTTGTATCCTATACATTTCCATTTATTTGAATACTTTACTTCATAGCTTTGAACGTGACTGCAAAATCGAATAGTATCCATACATTGAACAATAAAAAATATATTTTCATCTTTCTCAAATATTAGTTCAATTTTTCCAAAATGTGGAAATATTTCTTCGCAAAAGATATTTAAAATAAAACCTGGCTTATAAGCAATACCTTTTATGTTTATCCATGTTACAGCACGAAATGTTACATTTGAAAAAAATACTTCAAAGTTACTGTAATTAGGAAGTTTTGATATTTGTTGTATTGAAAGCTCCTTTCCAAAAAATATACGTCTTTTTATATCAATGTTTTGAAAAAGTCTGTAGCTCAGTTGTAACTGGTGTTTTATCGCCAAAGTTAATGGCAAATTTCGTCTCGAAGAAGAAATATGAGCAGCAATCTTTGATTGCCTGTGTTTCGCTTCGTATCGCATGCACCAAATATTTACTAATGGACCTACAGATTTCATAACGCGTGCATAATGAAGGAGGAAATGGTGCTTCGGTTTTAACGTATCTTGAAATAATTCTAAATAAAGTTGATGATGCTCAGTAATTAACGCATTTAAATAATCTATGCAATGTAAAGTAAAAAACGGTGTAAGTAATATATTTATAATCTTGTTTAAGCAAATGTACAAAGTCCAAAAATCATTATTTTCAGGAACCTTATGTCCTATGATAAGACCAAAATGAATAACAAACGTTATTGTTTCTGAAGCAGAAAGACCTAGACTACATCTCTTTAATTTTTCTATTTTTAAGAATGGTGGACGGTTTCCTTCTTCAGGGCCAAAATCATACGTACCTATTCTATCATTAAGATACTCTAATGTAAACAGGTTTGATTGTATAAAATGTAATATTAATTTACACATATCGTATTGACAGACGCCTTCAAATACGTCGTGCATTATATCACAACTCATATTTTGTAGAACGTGAAAAGAATCTAATTTATTCCAAATGCATATTTCAGTTAAACCAGTTATAGAGACATCATTTTTTTGTAAATCATTAGTATATTCACTAATTGTACGTAATAATTGTTTATCTTCAGCTGTTTGATATTTTATTTGATTAAGAGAGGCTTTACAAAACCTACAAGGATAGTTTGCAACAAAACTTTTTACGAATCCACAAATTTCATGCACGCCTAAATTGTCTCCGATTACAAGAACACATTTTATATAAATATGTGTACCTTCCTTAGTGACTAATCCTGATTTTTCTAAAATCTGTAATTCATTAATTAAAGGTCGAAATGTAGCGTCATTTCCGTAAACTTCTCTATCTTTATTCAGAAACAATAACGTTAAGAAAATATTATCAAGTTTTGAACGTGCTTCTGGAGGCATGCATGGTAATGAAAAATATACAGCTCCGATTTTATGAACACCTGCATGACCACCTAACGGATTATTTGTCTCAAACTCATCATAATAAATTATTAATGGTAGAACAAGTTTGTCTTGAAAATTGTGACTTAAATGTTTCCACAACTCTGATTGAATTATATTACTCACACAGTGTGAATCATTTGTCACTTCTTCCATGTAATCTAACATATCTTTTAAAATATTTGGTATTTCAAATATTGCCTTTAGGACTTTCATTACAGAAATAAATTGGCCTGTGATATTATTTGGAATTAAGGTAAAAATATTATTAACTTTTCTACTTTCCATATTTTGTCCAATTACATAAGAAACAGGTTCTATGTAACAGCCTTTTTGTTTAAAATATTGTATTCTCTTATATTCAGTATCTAGACCGTAAAAAGGATTTTTACATTGATTAAAAAAAGACGTATATTCTTGTTTCATGACTACTGGAGCTTGTAAAGTCTTTAAACTTTGATACACCTTACTTTCTACCATGCTTATAATATTTTCCACTAAATTTGAAGTGACATCTACAACTGTCTGTACATGTTGTCGCGTCAGAGAACTGCTATAATATAAATGTGATAATGAAGAAGCAGCAACCTTTTGTATTTCTTCAAACTGAAAATTACAAGAATCAAAGTTTCTAGATAAATTTTCATCTGTACTGATGCTATTATTTTCATTTTTTAAATTAATATTAGGTAGATGAACTGATCGCAATTGTATTGCATTTGGAAAAGTATGTATATTTTCTTCTTTGTCATATGTATCGAAAGGATGATCATGTAATAAATGTTTTTCAAAACGACGCGCAGATTGAAATTCACGAACACATAGCGATTGATTGCAAATATATTTATCAAAAACACTAAAACTATGTTGTAGTTTCAAATGTTTCATTAGTTTTTTTATAGAATTTAAATTTATTTTACACACTTGGCAAACATACATTTTTGTTTAAAAGACAAATAGAACAAAAATTATTTTAAAAATAATGTGGAGTGTAAAATATAAAGTTATTATTTCGTTGTAACCATTTAGAAAAAATTTTTTAATCAATACTCAAAACAAATAGCTTAGTAATAATTAATGTTATTTAAACAGTACAATATAGTAATTTTAAAATAATTGCAATCTTTATATTTTATAAAATTTCTTTTCGATGGATGCCACTTTGGTATTTATTACATCGGTATCATACTCAGTTGACATTTTATACAAACATTTTTGTATAAGAAGCCATACCTGTTCAGATTCCTTGGGATAACAGGCATGTAATACAAAAAAACACTTGTAACATATGTCTATAGCTTTGAGAGCACTCTCAATTTTGTACAGAGTATTGTCGACACAAACGTAGTATGCGTTAATCGAGCTATCGTCACGTCCAACAAAAATAACAAATGGTTGTAGAGTCAAATTTAACGCAGCTGCTCTATTCCTCTGACATTCAATGCTGTGTTCAATGTCAGCAGGACTCTGGAATAAGAAATAAACATTACTTTTAACTATAGCAATGTTATCTTCACATACATAAAATTGTTTTGCGTAAAATATAAAATATAAAAAATAGAATATAAAAATACTTACAATTAAGAATAAAATAAAAGAATTTAATGATTCAGTTATTGTAGCTTTTACACTTCTTGTACCTTTCCGAATTTTTATTGTTGGACTACATAATGCTGGTAATAATTTAAGGATTCTAATATTTCTTTCCTCTAAAAATACAGATATTACTGAATATATATATATATGTTACTGTTGTAAAATAGTAAATTTTAAATTTAATATTAAAAAATGTTAATTTTCCGTACTTTTACCTTCTGATATATTTTCATTTATTTGATAAAGTTGTTCTTCATATACTCTATCTTTTATAATTTCAGTCTGCATAAGAGTATAAATTTTTCGTGAAAATTCTGGCCATTCATTATGTATAGAGAGCACGTTTCCGAATTGTGCGGCATAATCAGATTCAATCTGTAAAAATTATTCAAAATAA